GGGTGTCACCAGAGGTAACAGTATTAAGAGAAATCTCACCCGTAACTTCATGAACTGCCACTGCGATTAATATAAAATGTGACATTATGGCCTATGTGTCTGTTTTCAGTGACTACATTTATAGGACTCAGCTGAAGGTTTTTCTTACGCAGGATAGAGTCAAACTAACAAGCCAGCTCATAGCAGTATTTCATCATTCACTCGGGAGAGTCACAGAAAAAGGCGAATGCCTACTTTTCACTCTGCCTTTTCAGTAATCCGTGTGGAATCTGTGGTGATTCCATCGGAGCCAGCATAACTCATTTGATTTGGAAGAGGATACTCAGTAATGAGTCAGATTCTTCTGTGGGTGAAGCAGGACATGTTTAGAGCTGCCTGAACTATTTCAAGTCAAGCAGACATTCTTGCGCACAATGCAACTTGGTGAGAACGATTCACTAATGGAGATCTTAGTGTCCCGAGGTTGTTAAGGGACTTGCCATGTGTATGTACTTTTCACTCCAGAGTTAAGAATCCCTGGAGTTTGGCTTCTGGACTCAACAGTTTATGCTGTTGCTTCTCCCCTGACCTGCTCTGTGTCCTTGGGCAGGTTACTAACTTCTCTGTGGTCACTGCCCTCCATGAAGGGGGCGTGATGGTAACAGCCATACCTCCCATGGGTTGTACAGGCATATACAATGGGAGAATGTGTGTGAAATGACCAGCATCATATCAGATTATTACTTTTTACTCTGCTCCTAAGTACTGTGTTCTGTAAAAAAAAAAAAAAAAAAAAAAATTCCTTAGATACTGTAAAGATATAAACATACACATTAAAGGGGCAAGAAAACCAAGGCCACCCACCATGTGCTGAGCACTGTGTTACGGTTGCCCAGGCAGCATCTCATTTATCTTCTTTTAGGCAGGCCGAGGGAAATGCCTTTCCTCCACTTTACAGATGAGAGCACAGGAGCTCTGTGAGTTCAAGGTCATGGCAGCAGCCTTGGATGGACCCGGCCCATACTGTCTCCAGAGCCCAGCCCTTTCGGGCACCCTTCCTCAGGCCCCCGCTGGTCTGAATCTGTGATTCCCCTGGAGTCCTTTGCAGGTTCAAGGCCTAGTTTGCTCTGGCAAACTCAACCTGTTCTTTTGTTTACAACTTCACGATCTTTCTTTAACCTCCATGACTGCAGCCCTTCTGGGGACCATGTTCCCTCTCACTTAGTATTTTACGTCCACTGGGCTCTAGTCACTTTTACACAAGTACAAACAATCCCCTTTGTTTTCCCCTTGGCCTTTCTCCCTGCCCTTAAGAAAAAGTTATGTACAAACCAAAGAGCCAGAAAGTTATCTTGGCCAGTGGGATACACACTCTGTTTTTATGTTGAAAGTATGAATTGTCCTTGGAGGTTTGCCCTTTCCTTCTCCCCCAGGAGTCCACATTCATGGTCAGATAGTGCACGGGGCTGAGCCTCCTGAGAAGACCCACGTTTTTAAAGATTTCGCACTTTCGTTAAAATAATTTGGTAGTTGTTGATACGGAAACAGATATGTTTCTTTAAAAATGCTGCAATTAATTACAAAGAGTGCAGATTCAAAGTGGTCCAAGGCTTCTTGAGGGTGCTCATTTTAAACATGAATAGAATGAAAGGTGATCTTAAGCCTTCTCCTCTCAGAAACATTTTCTGAAAAATAATATTAGCTGGAACCAGTATCAGGTAAAGTCAGTAACTGCTCTACCATTTTCCTAGTCTGTTCTTGTTTGCTGAATGGGGTGGGATTCCTTGCAAAAGTAATGTCTACAACTGAAGAAATGGGCCACTGAGACAAGATCTTGTACCTTTTAAAAATACAGCAAGAGCTAAATCCACAGATTTTTAAAAATAATATCAAAGCACCAGAAGTGAGTGGAAATAGACCCTTACGCTGAATTGCTATCAGAACATCTGTTATATTCACCATCGATCCCTCGGTTGGAAATACGTGCCAGCCCACTGGCCAAGAATCTTCTGAGAAAATCTCAAGGTTTTGGTACTTTTCATTAAAATATTATTTTAAGCAAAATGCCTGAAGATATACTAATACCTGTAAATAAAAGGAAGGAGAATGTAGATTTTGGCTTTACATGTTAGAAAAGCGTGGCTGGGCGCTGTGACTTGTGGTGGTAGTTTTTCTAGTGGACATTTGGTGAGAAGGCATGGATTTGATTTGCTCATCGTATCCACTTTATAAAATGTCACCGATGCCGAGCATGTTTGAGGTAGGGGCCGTGTGCTCCCTGCCAGCTGTCAGGTCTCTGTGGCTGGCTTCCCTTGTCTGTTCAGTGAGTACCATTTGTTTTGAGCTGTCTTTCGCTGCCATTTTAGTTTTTAACCACCCTGAGCTTCATTCTTTTCCTGAGAATGTGAAAAGGAGAAACAAGGAATGATTTGAAGGATTAACTTCACCCATTCCACGCTCCTCCCCAAACAGACAGTTGAGCAAATTACTTCATCTCAGATTAAATGTGCACGTTTGAAGCCATAGGTGTTGGAGCCCAAGTGTGCAAAAGTGACCCTGGAGACAGGAACCTTAGAGGAGATTCTGCCAGATGCTCCCGGGGGCCAGTGGGAGTCCCGGAGTGCAGCTCCTGGGGGGTATGAGTGGATGCAGGTGTGTTCTCCACCCCTTCCTGTTGCCCTAAAGCCACAGAGCTCTAAGTTTTTGCTCAGGGAGAGAGAGGAGAAAATCTAAGAAGGTTGCTGCTCAGGATCCTCGGAGTACACAAGGGGATGCATGTTCTTTTCAAGCTTGGCAGGATTCCTATCAGTACTGATAACAGTTGTCACAAATCTTGGACTTGCCAAAGTGATATATAAGATGTACCCACGCCTCCCCCACTGCACGCTTAAAATCTTTAAAAGTTGAAAGCATTAAAAGACGTAGTGTTTTGCACCAGTTCTGAAATCCTCCCGGATCTGACCTGTGAGAAGTAGAAACTGCTTGACATTTCTGGGCTCCTATAATAGGTAGCAGTAAGGCAGTGATGGCGGATCTCTGGGTCATCCTTCCTTGCTGCCTCTGGAGAGGAGAGGAATTGGATGTTTCCTGGTAGTTCACCAACCCCCTGGGTCTAGTTCCTCCTACACACTCTCCCAAGCTTGTGGTGCTGGTCACTCAGCCTTATCCATTTCATTCTTTCTGCGCTTACGTTGAGAACGGACTCCTAAATCATAAACTCACAACACTTAAGAACTGTAGCTTTAACATTCATCAGATTAATCCCCTTGCTATGAAAATGTTTTAGGACTACAGACTTCCACAGTTAATGGCACAGATCACCAAGTCCTAACTCCCACTTCAGAATGTCAAGTGCAGCCTCCTGGAAAACCCTGCAGGGCACCACTGATGTCATTCTTGCGGCCCTAATGGCCACTTGCCCGGGAGTGAGCACATCAAAACTTGAAAGGAAAGCAAAGTTAAACAGTGACGTACTGAGCTTTTTACCCCTGTTCCTTGCAGAAATTGAAAAGAGAATAATGCCTTGTAGTAGACCTGGAAAGATGACTATGGCATATTGTAGGTTAAAAAAGAAGTAGTTTACAGAATCATATGGAAATGATGATCTAATCTGTGTGTTGAATACGTGTTGAAATGCACAAACAGAAAAGTCTGGAAGAGGATACTGCAGGCTGTTAACAATGTTTATCTCTGAGGGTTGAATCACAGGGAACCATCCTCTTTGGGTTTACTGTTTTGAGTATTTTACAGACATCATTTTTAATCTAAAAATCATTAACACTATTTCTGGGAGAGAGAGAGACGTAGAGTCTCTGTCTCAGGGCTGTGAACCCAGAAACCCTATTGTTCGATATTAATACTGAAGACGGGGATAGAATTACTAGACTAGTTACTGTGGCCACTGGCATTCAAACCTAGATGACATCTACTGGCGTTTTCTTGGTGACCATTTTACAGAAAGGGCTGGACACAACCATGGGTGTTCAATATATGCAATCTATTAGCATTCATCCATTCATGTTCGTGACAGTTCGTGGTGTGTAGAGGAGATATGGACTTGATGGTCAAGGAGTACGCGGTGTAGGAGGAACAGGCCAGAAATAACTGCTAACCCAACTGTAGGGGATGTGCGGAGCCAGGGGCGTCCTGAGCTGGGTTAGTGAAAGGAGAAGTCGCCGACCTGGACTTAGGGTTAAGCCCACAGGAAGTCACACACTTTACATAAGAAATTAATTGTGGAATTAATGAGTCCATTTTCTCCTTGAAAACAGTTCTATAGAAACTTCCGAGTGACTCAGGGCCTCTAGAAGTTTACGACAGAAGAGCACAAGATAGGCACCGTTGCTAAACCAGAACGCCTTGCGCTTCTTACCCTCAGGGCCCCGCAATTCAGTTACTCATTTACAAGCGGAACAGAGTAAAACTTCGTGGAAATGTAGAAATTATCCTCTCTCTTCCTTAAAAAAGAAAGAAGTATTCCACACGATCAGTATGCTTTGGGATTTAAGTGCTGCACAGTCTTTCTGATGGTACCTGATGGCGCGCAGGAGCTGGGCTCCGACCCACCGGCCCTGCCCGACGCCCGCAGCCCCTTCTTCCCGGGCCGCCCCCGCCTCCGCCGGGTTTCACTCCATCCCGCTGGAATGCTGCCCTGGAGCAGAGGTCCTGGACTTTACTTCTTAGTCCAGAAACGAGAAAACCCAAAACCTGGGGCAAATCATCCGACATGCAGCCAACATCCCTACTGGCCTAGAAAAAAAGTTAAACTCTTTCCCGTTATCCATCCCTCCTGGAAGTTCCGGGAAAGCCCGTTCGTCCAGGTGCTGCCTGGGGCGGGGGCTGCTACCCGGGAGGTGGGGACTGGGGACGGGCGCGCGGCCAACCTGCCGGGCAGCCCGCTTCTCCCTTCCCCCCTCCCCTCCCCCTTCTCCCCTCCTCTCGCCCCCCCTCCTCTCCCCTCCCCCCAACTCGGCCCAGGCTGCCCCGCCCCCTCCCCGCCCTCGCGGCCCCGTGGACTCTTATTGCCCCGGCACGCGGGCGGGGCGTCAGGCCTCCAGAGTCGCAGAGGCGTCCAGTCTGGCGCGCGGTCCACGGCGGGTCCTCCCGGCACGCTGGGGGTCCCGGAGCGGCGGGGCACGGCCGGACGGCAGGTAGGGCGGTGTGGGGGTGGGGTAGGGGAGGAAAAGGGGGCCGGCGGGCAGCAGCCCCGCGTTCCCGCCCCCCCGCGGCCCCTGGCGGAGCCCTCCCTGCCCTGCGGTTGGAGAGCGGCGCAGAGAGCTTGGCTCCAGAGGGGCTTGGGCGCCTCGGACCGTGCTGGGGCCGGAGAGGCTAGGCTGCCCCAGACCACGGCCGGCAGAGCTGGCGGGGAGGGGGCGGGCGGTGATCTCCTCCTGCCGTCGGCGGGGTGTGGTGAGGGGGTCCGTCCCTCCCGAGCCCCGCACCCCCACACCCTTCTCTCTGCGGGGCGCTGGTGCTCTCCGCGCACGGAGTGGGGGTGGGCGCCGGCCTGGGGGAGCGGCGAGGCCGGGTGGCCTGCGCGCGGGGCGCGGAGCCGGCGGCCCTCGGGCAGCGCCCCCCGCGGCTCCGGTCCCGCCGCCCGGGTCTGGCTTCCCTTCGGGGCGGCGAGCGTGCGGGGCTCCGGGGCGCGGAGTACGGCGGTCCGGGGCTCCCTGCGCGCGGAGCTCATCCGACCCCGGGCCCCGGGAGCCGAGCCAGCCCGAGCTGCGTGTGCCCTGCGGCCCCAGGGAGGGGCCGAGTGGACAGACCCTCGCCTGGGAGGCGGGAAGGCTCGGTTGCCGGGCGACCTGCCCTCGGGATGCCGCCCCCGACGCCCCGCCCCCCAGGCTCAGCAGCGGTCCCAGCAGCCTCGGAAACTCTGCCCAGCTCTGCCGTGGAGGACATTTTCTCGGTTGGTGTTATGAGGGGTCCCGTCGCAGTACTGCTACTGTCTGAGGAAGAACTGGCCGGGGTCATCGGGGACTGCGGTAGGGGATGTTTCTGAGCTCACAGTGCAGAGGTAGCCGCTTCGTTCGGTGTTCCTCCATCCCCAACGGAAGAAGACTCTTTCTTTCAAGAGCTGGGGGACTTTGACTTAGTGATGAGAGGTTTGAGTGAATTTTATTTTTTCCCTGGTCTGTTCACGTGGGTTTGCGTTGTTGCGGGTGAGAGTAGGGGTCCCCGTGCGTTGGAGCGATTGGAAGAGTCCGGAGTCCGACCTGAAGAGAGAGCAAGTCACGTGGTTAGTCCATCCTTAACAGTGGGTGTATCACAAATAGGCAGGAGGTATATAATCAATATATAATCAACACATTTTCCAGCTAATCTCTAAGCTATGTTTTTTATTTCTTCTATTTATTTTATATAAAATAAGATTGATCTGACAGTAATTCTAGTTTTGGGGTTTTGAATAAGGACTGGGCTGGGTTGCCGGGTGCCCACACCACATCCATTACTAAGAAACTAGGCACGTACAGCGAATAATCAAGCACGCCGGCATCCTAACCGTCTTTTTGGCTGTGTGAACACTTGGTGCTCTGGGTGAAGAGTTCGGGGTAGGTGGTCGACAATCACACGGCTCTGTTTTCTGTGGCTGTGAAACCCGTGAATCATAACATTCTGACAGCTGGTGTGGTCCAGTAGCCTGCATGCTTGAAATGGTGTAATAAGTGCACACCCAGTGTGTTCCCAGGTGAGAACACTGACTTGGAAAGCAAGAGGTCGGTGTCCTGGTTATAGGAGCCCTGGGCTGCTTCATTATAGGCTTGTGGGCTCTGGGTTTTCGTTGACTTTGAAAGCTTTTTAGTAAGAGTTGAACAACCTACTGCATTGCCTTGCAGTTGAGCTTTAAAAAACTTTACTGTGTTGTTTTCTCAAGAGCTGTAATCTTGATAACTATTTTTGAGCATAGTTGCTCTTTTTCCCCAAAATATTTTCCCTAGACTGTAGTAAATCTTATACTCTACTATCTTTGAAATCACTCATTATTACTGAAGTATAAAGTATTTCTTGGAGCTTATCAAGGAGTCCATACTGCTCAAGGTGCTGGAGTCATCATTTCAAAAGGAAGTTGTTAATTTGGTCACACAGCTGTTGATTGTCCAAACCGCTGTTGCTTTTCTTCCCCCACTTTCCGGATTTTTTTTTCACAGTCACTGGGAACAGTAAAAATATGTTTTAGACATTGCTTTCTCTTTTGCGTACGTTTCCCTGTAGACAGTTTCATATCAACACGGGATGTGCTTTTTCAGCAGCTGTTTCAGAAGATCCAGATAAACATCAGGTGATGGAAGTTCAGTGTGCTTCTCAGAATGCCTATGCGATTTCTTATTTGGCAAAATGACTCTCTTCTTCAAGTAAATGGGGGAGGTAGACCCTAAAAAGATACGTTGACGAGCACTGCAGTCTCCTGTGAACGTGTTCTTGTGTTCACACACAGTAGCTCACTCCACAAATGTTGTTCTGAGACACAGGGTGGTAGGAGGTCGAGTGAGGTCCTCGGGCCATCCCCTTTCCGCCTCTCGGGTTGCTCTACGAAAGCGAGGTTGCACTCGCTCACGGGGTTGCACTCGCTCACTGGGAAGCTCTGTATCAGATTGTGTCAAAGGATGAAGAATGAGCGATGCTGGATGAGAAAGGCTTCCTCCAAGGAGACTGTAGGACTGGCGAGAGCTAGCCCAGCCTTGTAGGGAAGGTGGGGAGGTACAGGGGAAGGAAGGAGGGCCTGAGGGGTCAGGAAGGAGAAACGGCCCCTGAAGCCAGTGCCCTGGACAGTTTTCGGCCCAGCCCCACTGACCCCTAAAGGTGCCTTTCACCCTGAGCAGTCATCTTCACTGCTTGCTGCTCGTGTGCTTTAGGGACAACCATGACGGGTGACGCGCGCAGTTCCAGTTAGGTGAGCCTCTCTTACTTGTGTGTTTGGATCACAGGGACCGGAAGGCAGGCTGAGAATTCGGGTGGTTGGTTCATGCAGCTCCAAGTTCTTACACGGAGTGCAGGGCGACCAGCTGCCAGAGCTTCCCCCTCCGGGAAGCAACGATGCTGGTGTCCATCTTGGCCTGGGCTTTTGGAAGGCAGAAGGGCTTCCTTGATGGAAAAGATTTCCTCCTAAGGGAGAAGCTGCCATTTGCAGGCAAAATGTGTCAGCCAGAAGAAATGAGCAAATGACCATTTTTTTTTATTTTTGGCAAAACTTTGCAATTTTTTTTCCATATAGAAGTGTTAGAAATAGACTCATAAGAAAACAGACAAGGGGCTTCCCTGGTGGCACAGTGGTTAAGAATCTGTCTGCCAAGGCAGGGGACACGGTTTCGAGCCCTGGTCCAGGAAGATCCCACATGCCGTGGAGCAACTAAGCCCGTGTGCCACAACTACTGAGCCCGTGCACCACAACTACTGAGCCCGTGCGCCACAACTACTGAAGCCCACACGCCTAGAGCCCATGCTCCACAACAAGAGAAGACACCACAATGAGGAGCCCGCACACCGCAACAAAGAGTAGCCCCCACTCGCCACAACTAGAGAAAGCCCCGCGCGCAGCAACGAAGACCCAACGCGGCCATAAATTAATTAATTAATTAATTAAAAAAAACAAAACAAAACAGACAAAACCAAGTAAGAAGAATAGACACGGAAGTCTCACCAGTGGGCAGGGAGGGAGGAAGGAACCTTGGTTAAGCAACTGTCACTCCCCAGACCCTGCAGGGCATGCAGCATTCTCTACCACGTTTCCTGGTATCAGAGAGCGGGGACCTGGTGCCCATCCACATTGGAAGGAAGTAGCACTGGACCACGTGCATGAGACTCATAGGACACGTGTGCTGCCTTTGTGAAACTGTCAGACCCCTGAGGGTCAGCACCCTCCACTTTCACCTGGGCTGGATTTCGAATGTGCGTTTGTAAATCCTTCGCTGGGAACTCTGAACACGCCCTTTCATTGAAACCATGTCAGTTTGTGGTTGGGTTCCAGGACAGGTCAGAGTATCCTGCTTTTTACTCATAGTGTCATCGAAAGGAGCCATTATATATAACATGGTTTTGTGGGAAAATGCACTCAGAGCTCCAACTTGATTTTTTTTTTTTTTAGATGACTTTTAATGCCAGCAACAATGGCAAGAAGGACCCCACCTTGTCTTTTTCCGTGTAAACCCTAAAGGCAAAATAAAGGTACACAGAGATACGTTTCCTTTCCTACTGCCCCCGTGCTAACGGAGACCCCCCAGCCTGGAACCAGAGAGCTGGGGGGTGGGGACAGCAGTACCTGGCACCAGAGGGGGAAGGACACGGGTGACAGGGCCGAGGTGAGGCCCGTGGTCCATCAGCCGGGCCGGGGAACCTGCTCTGATGGCCCGTGGACGTGGGCTGCCTGCTGGGTGACATGACTTCCTTACTAAATTACTGAACATCATCTTTACTCTAGAACCTGAGCATTAGCACCGTGAGCTGTCCGTTCAGTGTTTTTCAAGTCAGGGTTGGTTTTAAATGGAATCTTAAATAATAGCAAGAAAGCAAACTTCCAGGCATTTTGTTTTTCTTTTTGATGCCAGTGCACGAAATTCCCAAACAAATACCTCCTGGGGACTGGACAGACTTCAGGTCAACTTAGATGCTGATGTACACCTATAATATCCTGAATAACGATAGGATAAATACCATAGAGCAGTTACCTCCTACCAGAAAATGTGCTAAAATGTTTAACACACTTTACGTCGTCTCGTCGTCACCACAGTCCCATGTAGTAAGTACCATCAGCACCCCCATCTTAAAAAGGATGCAAGTGAGATTTCGGGAGGGTAAGAATGTGCCCAGAGCCACACAGCTCTGAAATGGCAGGGCTGGACAGCTGTTGTTGAACAAGCCCCGTAGCCTGGCCGTTGGCTGGACTCTGGGAATAAAGTAGGGACCCAGATGGACAAATAGGCAACAACCCCTGCCCTCGTGCAGGTTGTCTTGTAGTGATGGGAGACACACCATAGAGAAACAAACTAAACATCCAGGGCTTCAGATAGTCCTGTGCTGGGGGAAACAGAGCCAGGAAGGAGGGACAGCAGTGAGGCTGGGATCAGCCCGGTGGGAAGGAGCTCGGGCAGAGGAGCGGCTGTGCGCGGGCAGAGCGAGCCCGGGAGCGTTACAGCACCCGTTCTCCGGGTACCCT